AATTGTTTTCACATTAGCACTGTTCTTTGGAAATGTGGTAAGATACTTACTCCATTGTGCCAGGGAGCAAAGGATCAGACCCATTTCCATCACCATGAAAAAAAAAGTCTACCTTGTATGGTAAACGAGTAACAGTTCTGTGAACAGTTGCAGGTGCTGTGGGTGGCCATTAAAATACAAAGTAAACCAGTTGTTACTGGGACTAGTAAAATAAGTATTTCCTAGTGTCTGTAGGCACACGGGATTCAGTCCTTACTCTTTTTGAAGTGGTTGGAAGGCAAGGTAGTACAGACTTGCTAAATCATAGTAATGTATTTTCAGGCGTGTTGTCTTGACACACACAACTGCTGGGGAAGGTGTTTTGCAGAGGGATGAAGGCAAGTGGTGGAAGTGCTTTATTTAATCACTTGAGGCTGTTGTCTGTTCATTTCTCCAAGCATTTGCTTTTGAAATCATGTTAGTATGCTGTCCTGGAGTTCAAAGCTCAGCTCCTTCCTTTTTCCTATAATGAGACGACGTTTTGTGCATGCACTGTAAGTTGCTTGTATCCTTTAACATATCTGTGCTATAATACTTCAAACTGCTTCCGTCAGAAACTGGAAAACGTTTTTTCCAGGTGCTAGTCACATTTTCTGGGCTTGTCTTTCAGTTGTCATGAAGTAGGCTTAGTGCATGACTAAAGGATTTTTTGAAATTCCACATAAAATGTTTTATAACACTGTAATGTTAATGTCTCTCATACCTGACAGCCTGATGAAATCAAATGATTAAGTGTACAGTGCAGTGCAGAGAAACCAGAGCAGCTGTTTACTGGTTACAGTACTACTGCTTTTAAACTTTCTCCACATCTGCAAATTGCCAAGTGAATATTTTTTACGGTGTTATTTTTGAGTTTATACACATCAGAATAGCAAAGTAAATTGTCTCAGTACAAAAACAGTTGCAGGAGTTGTATAATCTGTATGTTTATAGTGTGTGGATATATGTATATAGTGTATCCTCTGTATAAAGAGAGACCGAGAGCGAGAATATTAACTGTGATGAAGTCATGAACCCAGGCGCCCGCTATAGGCATCTGCAAACACTGGTTACCCTGGCAACAAGTGGAAAGAGGTTGGAGAGGAAAGCTGGAGTAGGTTGTTGCATTGAATTGTTTTCAGCTTGTTTCTTCCTCACTAAAGCAGGGAGATGTTGAAAGGTATGATGTCCCTCTTTCTATGTGTATACTATTTTATATGTATTTAGACAGTTGTTGGGAAAGGGAAGGCTAAAAAAAAATACTTGTAATTCAGTTCAATTGGAGATGAACTTTTCAATATAAATAATAATATGCATTGCAAATCTGTGGTTTTTTCTATGTGCTTAATTTTTGTGTGTTGTGTTGTGGGGTGAGAGTGCTAAATGGATCTCCAGAGTACAGTACCTGTCCCGTCTTCAGCCTGGAGAGAAGTGACTATTGCATATTATGTCTTCAGAAACTGATTTTATTTTAAACTGGGTTTGTAGAGCTAATGTTTGAGAACCTGCCAGGACAGTACAAGTACTGGGTATTACCAAAAGATTTGTTAACTGATATTAAAGCTGAGCTTCTGAACACCTTCAGAATGTGTGGTACTTACATTCTTGTGCTCTTGCACTTGTGCAGAATATTGTGGCTCGTGAGTTAGTGGAGTCTTTACCTCCCTGGGGAAAGTTTTTATTAGAAAAACTAGGACATCATGTTCAGGGCTATAACAGCACCTTCCACAAGACAAATATCAAGACATTCTCTTCAGAAATCTGTTTTAGACAAATAATAGGAGATCCAACTGTGTGTTTCTTCTTGATTATCCTTCTCTCTTTTGCCCTTTTTATCTGTAATGAAAAAAAGATGTAAATATCTGTGCACTATATTAAATTATAAATAGTATAAATTATGATATATACACCTGAAACAAACAATTCTTGTCATTTTCAAGAATTCTTAAAAATACTATGTTTACTAACTTTATTTTCAACTTAGAAATAATGGCACTCAAGTGACTGTTACCCAAAAAAAAAAAAATTAGAAATTGCACAGTCCTAAAAGAATATATTGTATGACCCAGTCAGGGGATAGAATTCAGTCACTGTGTATTTAACACCTCTGACAGCAAGGGATTGATTAACAGACAGCGGTTCTTGATTTCTCATGTACTGAAAGACGCAGCCTAATGGAATATTAACAAGTGTTGTTTCCAGAAGTGCAGTGATAGAAATAACATGCTTAGTGTGCCAGACTCCTGCCCTTTCATTTCCATTTACTTCTACATGAAAAAGGGTTGACACATAATTTTATTCAAATTAAATCTAATTTTACTACACTATAAAACTGGATTTTCAAAACTTAACAAAAACAAATATGACACGGAAGATGGAGATGCATATGAGTATGCTGATTGCTCATAAAAGAACATAGACTGATACCAGTATTTGTAGCATCTTCCTAGAAATAGGCTGCTCAAAAGAGCTTTTGTCAGTGGGGCATATTTTAGTTAAAATAAAGCACAGCAAATCATCTTAAGCAATGATATATCTTATAATTAAACAAGGATTGTAGTCAGCTTAAGAGGTAGAGTTTTGTCATTAAACAATAATGCAAATCAGAGCTCTTATTCTGAATGGTGAACTAATAAGTCCCTAATGTAATTTAGCAGTTGAGTATATATAAAACTGTTCTCAGTTAGCAGTATAGTTGAGGTTGTAGGATTTGCAGTTTATTTGTATATAGTATTGTATCTGCTAAATTTATTAATGTTTTGTATTCTTGATTAGTAAGTGGATAAGAAAGATTCTGTTAGTACTTACCCTAGATACTTAAGACTGTGATTCTGGAGTGTTGGAGTAAATTAAAAAGGAGTTGACTTCTTAGCTGTCTTGTAGGGTGATCTTCTGAAATCATCGTTTTCATCTTGCTTTTCCTCAAATGTTGATGTAACGTTTCTTCCTATCTTTTGATCAAGTGTCTTGTAGCCATTTCAGTGTGGGAGTCTTCTGGGTTTAGACTACAGCTTATCGTCAGACGCTAGCAGTGTAATGGGATATGTGTATATTGGCTTCAGGCCACGTTAGGGCTGATTCTTCTTCATACAGTCTCTTGTACTTTGTCAGCATGTTGTTAAATCATGCATGTATCTGGTATAAAGGGCAGGCAGATGCACAAAATGATTCTTCAGCTATCCTCTGCTTCTTAAACAGGGAAACAAGGAATTACAATTTTCCTAGTCAAGATTCCTGTAGTTAAGTACTTCCTTCTGTGTTGTTTTTAAGCTGATTTGGTCTATTAATACAATACATGTATAGATGCAAGTATTGTTTTCCTACTTCCAATGCTGTATTTTGAAGTATCCATAGAGAAATGTGCAAGAGAGTGCTGAGAATGAGAACTACATTCTTCTGCATTAGACCTTTCCATTTTGTGCTTGATAGTGAGTGGAACATCACAGAACAGAAGCTGCCTGTGATTTGTGCTGTAGTGCGTGACCTTTCCTTTTTGGGAACTATTGGAGAATTGTCTACAAGCAAACTCATTTATCCTAAGGCTTATATTGGCTATCAGCTACAAGTTTAGATGATGGGTTCTTTTCTTTACCAATGAAAATTAGTGGATGAAAGAACTTACAGCCTGCTTTGGTAAGCCTTTTTTTGTACAAATTATTCAAGAACCCTAGAAAATCTGATTCATTTAAAAAGTTGCATCTTTCAGACTGCATTGATCTGACTTTTACCAAGCTGTCAAGCTGTAATGTTGTCTCAAGCGTTTTCTGCAAGGGGAACTCTTGTACAGGAGAATATTACCATGGTAAATTCGAAGTTCTTATCTACACTGATGAAGATGGAGAAGTGTTTTCAACACTTGAGGGGGTGGGAGTATTTTTCCAATGAAAAAAAGCTGAAATATATATTCCTTTTTAAGACATCACACTGTCAAAATCCTAAATTAATTTAGAGCATGGACATACAAAGAATTTCAGAGCAAGTTAGACTGAATATACGTTGCATCTGCTGGTCTGTGATAGCTACTTGTGCACACCTTAGCCTGTGTAAATACAAGGTGGTTCAAATTAGACTAGACAGCCCTTTGTTTTTGAAGGGTATCTTCATTTTTATCAGAGAATAAGAGCTTGTTTGTGTGTCCATAACCTTGAAAGGCTTGCTGCTGTTTCAGTCTGCCCTTCCCAGAAAGGGCACCAGTAGCTCTCAGTAGTTCAGTGAAAATTACTCCCGTTCTGTACAATATGCAGCTCAGTGTGTATGAAAACTGGTTTAACACTGCATTAATTTAAAAGCAGATACAGCTTGTACGTAATAAAGAGATTGTACACACACATACGTGGATTCTGAGTTATAAGCATCCCAAGCTCTGGAATAGCAAAAGGTGGGAATTTTGGACTAATGTATTTATAGAGGTACCGTGGACATACCAGTGAAAAGTGGGCATTTAGTATGACTTGATATTGGTTTCATAAAAACCAGATTTGGCCCTGTTACTGGATGTTCCCAGTCATTAATCTTACTTACCAGTAAGCTGCACTTCAGCGTAGCCTGTACCTGTGGTTGCAGATCAGAGAGGCACCCACTGATCACAGCTGGCTCATCATTAAGGGTGATGGATTTTGCTCTGCATGTGTGGCAGGTGTTTCAACCCTCACATCTCCAAAAGAGAATGGTCAGTTGCATGTGTTTTTCTTGCAGATGTGCAGAGATAACAAAATGTCATAAACAAGATTTTTTTTTCTTTCGCTTTTTAAATGACATCTAGTTTTTCATAAGAGTTTGAATTGATGGCACCAAGTATGAAAAAGTTAGTGTTGCCATCTTAGCTTGCCAGTATTTAATTTCATTCAGTCATGTTATGGTTTAGAAATTAGAGCAAGGGTTAAAAAAAAATTTCTATGTGTTGGTTGGACAGCAAAAGGATTGAGGCTTAGGAGAGAGATCAGGATGTTTCTTAATCTATGAATTATATTTCATTACTAAAGAGGAAGAAGAGCTTGAAGTGCCTTTGGAGGGGCTTGGATTTCAGCAACAGGAGTCACGGCTTTGTCAGCAGATGAAAATGGCTACTGTTGCACCATCGCCAGAGCCTGTTTGCTGGCAAGTGGAATCAGTGACCAGCACAAATTCGGGACATGTTTGTACCCAAGGTATGAGTTTTCTGTGCTTCAAAGAATTCTGTAAACGGGTGGTTAGCTGTGGATCAGTCTGTAGGGCTTGCTTGATTGGATAGTTGTGATTCATATTCCTCAGTTTCTCTGCCTGCCTTCCAGTCAAGTATTCCAGAGTTTAGAGGCATTCCTGGCAATGTCCCAGCTTCCTGGGAAAGTGCCTTGTCGTCCCTTAGTGGTTATTCTTTTTGGTGCATGACTCACATGCTAAATACCATGGCAGGAAAGCCAAATTAAAAAAACCTCCCAGTACCAGGCTATCATGCTATATAGTTTGTGCATCCTTTAAAGCAGAATTTTTCTTTTAATTGAAATCTTACACAGGGCAATACGACAACGCTTTGGATTACACTATTGCAGTATTTAGCAGAAGGAGACGATTTTTCACAAAACCTGACTCAGTCTGAGTAAACATAAAAAACAGCATTACAGCAGTTAATGCTTTCTATCCCTCCTCTGCCCCCTTCCCAAGAGAAGTAGGAGTTGGTGTTTTAATTGAAAAATTTAAAACTTGGTATTTCAGATGGGCATAATCTAGATATTCATGTTTGGGGTATCTCGTTTTTCCTTATTTGTGAGAGGTAGATTATTGTGCATCTGATGACTGCATCATTTCGGGTACTCTAGTCTGAAATGATTGGCTGCCCATAGAGACGGGTCACTGACCTTGATGGAAAGCTGTGGCTCATCTGTTGTGGCAGTTCTTACATTCTTGTGTACAGTTGAGAACATACAATTCAATTTTACATCCCTTTAGTAGTTAGTTCTACTGCTGGTTGTTTTTCAGGGTAGCATCAGGAAGCTGGCATTTTGTTTTGCTGTGTTTAAGTGGCCATGTCAGTTCCAGAAATCTGCAAGAGATGGATTTGACAAGACTGAATCTGAAAAAATGTATATGAACACCTGTCATTATTATCAGCCTGAGATTAGACTCTGGCGTTTTCATTCATATAACTTTAAAAAACCCTAGTTTTGACTCCATATGAAGCAGCATTATTAGTAAGAAACCAAGAACTCTTTTAACAAATTCTCAGTTTTTAATGTGAAAGCATTGTCTTCTACTGGTTATTTTTGTGTATATATTATTTGTAATGTGATTATGCCTAGGGAAGGGTGGGATCCCTCTTTACTTCTTGAGATGAGCCCTGTCTGAGCAAGTTTGTATTGTAAAGACCACAAGCTGAGACACTTGGGAAGTATGTGGAAATAATGCTAACTAGTGTGGGAGACAGTGGCATGAGCACACCAAGGAGGTTTTATGGCAGGATTTGAAGAGAGTAATGAGGAAATTTTGATGGGTGTTACCATATATTTTTCTCAAATTCTTGAGGAGTTGCTATCTCAATAATTAAAGAGGTAGCACTATGGTGGAGGAAATTAAGACTCATAAGTGAAGCTAAGTAGCTTTATTTGTTGCATTACAGAATGGAGAGGCAGTTAGAGAATGCAAAGATAAGATGATTGCATCTGAAACAAGAAGTAGGAAAATTTGTAGTAGCCTTCTAACTAGATATAGATGGGTCAGTGCTACACTTCCACTTCTCATGCTTGGTCAGATTGAGTTTCTGCTGTCCGGTAAGATTTTTTAAAATTATTACTGGTTTCCAGTTGTCATTATAGAATCTTGAGGCGCTTTCTTCTGTTTCTGAGCCTTGATTAAAGCAAGGCTTGAAGAAAGGCCTTTTGAGCCAGCCATATGTCTTAACAATGAACTGTTCCCTCTTCTTTGACATCTGAAATCCTAGATAGCTTCCTAACATGTTTTTTCTTACTATTTTCTCTTTAGCCTCCAGTTCCAAGCCTGAACTCAGCTCCAGTTCACAGACTTTGGGAAGTCAGCAGAACAAGACAGATGGCACCCGAGTAAAAACTCGCATTCTGCCCAACATGCCAAAGCTTTTCATACCTTCATCTGTCACCAAATTTCCACCTGAGATCACTGTCACTCCACCCACTCCCACCCTCCTTTCTCCAAAGGGCAGCATTTCAGAAGAGACCAAGCAAAAATTAAAGGTAATAAAAGGGCAACAGTAATTTTTTAGATTATTGTTTTTATCTTAATTCTCCCCTCAATAAAATACCTGTATGAAAGGAGCAACAGTTCCTGTCCCAAGTTCATAACCAGAGATCATATAAGTAGTGGAAGAAGATGCTAGCTGTTATCAGCAGGAGCCAGTTTTTAAGGACTGGTGAAATACGGGCCATGGGTGAAATCATAGCTATCTTAGTCCTTATCTGTTTTCTGAGGGAATTAGAAAGAATTACAAAAATGGGTGAGGGATCTAGTGCAGCCATTGCAATTCTTAGGTTAGTGAAAGCTACCAGAATATTGTGGGGAAGCCTACTGGTGAATGTTACGTTGTTTCATGTTAGGATGCCATATCTTTTATGGAACTACGAGAGCTGTTGAATGTGAAGGAATAGCAACCAGTTGGCTTTTATCCATGTGATCATGGGTTTATCCTGACTATTTAGCAATATATTCTTTCTCTCTCTTTTTGGGATCAGTCTGCTATTTTGTCTGCTCAGTCTGCAGCGAATGTAAAGAAGGAGAGCCTTTGTCAGCCAGCTTTGGAAATCTTAGAGACCTCAAGCCAGGAGTCCTCACTGGAAAGTGATACTGATGAAGATGATGACTACATGGACATATGAATGAATTCTGGTCATCATCAGCACCAACCATATAACCATTCTTCTTATCGCCAGCGTCTCTGGCAGTTGAAACATCTTCGTTGGCATTACTCTCCATTTAATTGGCATCATTGTGTTTTTCACTTTCATTACCTTTGTTACCACTGCTACCGCTTGTATTGCCTTCAAAATCTTCGCCATTCTCCCCATCATGGTGCTTGACAGAAAGAATGATTGTTTACCAGGCAGTTAATTACTTTGGACCACACTGTCACCTTTAACTTCAGTAAATACAAGGATGTTTTGAGCTGCAATTCATATCTGTCTACTGTTCCTGCTTCTTCAAACCAGAGCCTTGGAAGTCACTCCAGTAGCTCTTTTCTATAGCATTTTCTTCCTTTTAGTTGTATTTTTGAATTTTCCCCACTAGTTAAGTTTTTCTCCGAGTAATTCAACAACCTAATGTCTGTCTAGCCATGCCACGATTAGTGCAACAGGTCCTTTTAAGGTGAATGGAGTAGGAAAAATTTGCTGAGCTGGTAGAGGTTTTAATTGCATCAAGAAAGTCTATGGCTTTGTTGTGGGGTGAGAAGGGTGAGCTGAGAGAGTCTGTCAGCTCCTTGGCACTGCTCGGTGCTTTGTTGGAATTTGACTCAGTGACAATAGGCAAAGAACCAGCTTTTCCAGGCAGAGAGCTTGGCCTCCTGTTTGTGCTCATTTCACACCAATGTATGAGGTCCAGCAAAAATTATCTACCTGAATGTTGGCTTAAAGAACTGATCTTTCCAGAATTGTCTTACAGTCCTTTCTCTTCTAATGCCTTGGACAAGCATTTTGAATTGGGGGCTAGATGATATTTTTATGGTGGTATTGAAAAAACGTGAAAGATTTCAATACCATTTCAGTAATGTCTGTTTTTTACAGAACGACACGAAAAGGTGTTTTTTATCTATCTGCAGAGGGACTGCTCACAGTTATTTATATGAGAAAATAATGGTAACAAAGATCCTTTTTTTTCTACTGAATGTTAACTTTGTAAAATAATGAATGCAAACCATGCAAAAAAAAATACGTCACACACTATATATACACATGCGTGCGCCCACACACATATATATATGTGTATGTACATATATATATATGTATGTATATGAAAATAGAAAATGCATACAGCTTGCGATGTCAGATTTCTTTGTGTTTGGGGGAGGTGGTTTTCTGTAAAATGCAGAGCTTTGTATAAACTTCTGGGTTTTTTCTAATAAAGTTGAAATGTACTGTTGTCTCTGTTCATCTGAGAGGGCACGGTACCATGGTTCTGGAAAAAATATTGCTCCTCCCTTCCTTTTATTTCTTGGATAAGAAAGCGGTGGAGGAAGCGGGGTGGTGGGAAGCCTCTTCCTTTTCTGAAGACTGCCAGACCTTTTCGGATGGGTTTGGTCTTGTGTGACCTGGAACCTGGGTCAGCCAGTGTTGCCAAGACTTGCCTGCAAAGGGTTGACTTCCCCATTGAGACATGCTCTGAATTCTTTTTCACCTATCTGAATATCTTTGAATGCTGATGAACAACATAAGCGGGAAGACAACACATGGTGAATGGGATCACATAGAATATTTGGCTGTACAAGTTGGCATTTGATCCACTACTACAGTGATCGCTCTCATTCACTGTAAGAATGGTAAATGGACCATGGATAAAAAGAAGCAGCATCAAACTTTGTATTGCAAGTTTATTTTCGTATTCTGGGTTGTTTGTTTTGAGCAAAACATAATTTATAAGCAAGTGAGCATGTCCATTTTGGCCATATTAGCAACTGCTCATGTAACTTGTTCAGTTACTACAAGTGATAGGTGAGCTGGATGCAACTGATGTGGAAAAGATCAGGTAACTAAATGGTAAAAGCAAATGGGTGTTTTCAATAGTAATATGTTTTCAGCATTCGCTGTTTAATTTGGTGTAAGTTATTCTAAATATACTGTGTAGCCTACTGTATAGTCACTGACTGGTAATAGGCTAAGGTAGCTTTAGATATTCAGGCATGATCTTTTATTTTTTTAGATGGTGGCACAGGAAAAAAGAAATCAGCTTCTTATGAGAAATGGAACACAGGTTGGCGGAAGTAGTTCTGAAAAGGGCTCGTTCACCCAAGTAGAATAGACTACATTGGCTTTTTGACTACTGTATATTCTTAAATGTATGGCTAACGTTAAGATCGCATTTTAATTCTTAGGTCCGCACTTCTAGCATGGGTTTGATGTATGAAGACGGAGCATTTAATTTTCTTAATTGAATCTGGTCACTGAAAATGGTTGTTTTCCTTTATTATTCTTAAGGATTCCTTGGTATTACGCATTTTGCTTTTTGCTTTTTTTTTTCCTCCAGAGCTTGCTAAAATGCCTGGTCTTGAGCTTTCTTTTGTCTTCCAGTCTGGCTTTTTGAGGAGGATTTAATTTTTTGCTGGTTAAGGAAACCTAGAACAGTAAGTAAAACTGTTCCCGTCAGCAAAGGCAGATGAACTTTGCTGATCTCCTCTAAATTCGTTTTAATCTTCAAACTATGCAACTGTGCAACGTGTTTTATCCTATATTCAAAACTCTTACCTGTTTTTCCTTTTTTTTTTTTTTTTTTTTTGTAATCTGTGATCTTTTATTCGAAGTACGCTCTCGGGTAGTTCAAGGACTTAAGCTCAAGAAGTTACAGAGACTGAACTACACAGGCTGCCACCTTCAAAACCTGCCTTTCTGCTAATGACTAAGTAGTGTGTTGCTCAGCTGTGGGCCATCTTCCACGATGGGTATTACTGCTGATGTATGCTAAAGGAGCCATTCTTCTTCTATATGTGTGAAATCATCTCTCTGTAAGTACCGTTTATGTAGTTCTTCAGTTCAAGGAGCCATATTCTGGAGTAAAGACGCTGAGATCACTGGATGCATTGACATATAATGTTTGTCTGAAACACCATCCCTAAAGGTACTTGGAGCAAGAACTTCAAATCCTTACAAACAGAAGTAATCACTTAATATGGCAACTTCTGAAACCTGGCAATATAATTTTGTGGAATTTTCAAGACAAAAAAGCATTATGGTAAAACTGCAGTTAGTTATGTGTTTACTTGAAGTAATTTCTTTGATTTCAGTCTAATCCTAGTTGTAATAGCTTGGAATCCAAGTATAGGCAAGGTCCAGCTTACCAAGTTGCATATAAGATGTAAACACAACATCTGTCTTCAGGATTTACTGAGTAACCATTGCTTCTGAAATCTCAATGTCCCCAGGTGTCTTTTCTAATGTGCCAGGCAAATAAATAGCAGCTACTGATACTGCTTTTGTGTTTTTTTTTGTTTGGTTTGGTTGTTCCCTGTGAAGCTATATGGACAGGAATGTCTGGTGCCTAAAGTGAACTTAAAGGTAAGGTCTGTGACCCAAGTAGGGTGAGGAGGAGGCTTTTACTTCTTTTTTTTTTCTTTTCTTTTTTTACCCTGCCAGTAATTGATTAAAAAGCAAATTCTTTTTGGCTACTGAAAAGCCAAACTGTTAAGACTTCCAGGCAAATAGCAAAAATGTTTTTGTTCCAAAGCAAATGGAAAAAGAAATTATCTTGAATCAGGTGGTGAGGGTAATTTGTGGATAGTTGATATACTTTGTGTGCTGTTATTGGTCATTGTTTTTACACACAGTAAGATAACCTTTCACCGATCACCATTGTTAAGGTATATAGTACTGGCATTTGGCTGTGTTTAATGCAATTTCATTTCCTGGCTCAAGGATTATATAATCTATGTATAGTTAAGATCATCAAGAATTTCTCTCTCTGAGGCAAGGACTAGCGTTTTACTAAGAATTAATTTTGTTGGGCACAGCTGTCATTAGTGGCTTCTGCCCACTGAAAAATGCTGTTCTTCAAAAGCTAATAATGTTTCATTCCACAACCAAAATATCGAATCAAGGAAGATACCAAATGTCTTCCTTAATTTTATCATGTACTAGGGTTTGTCAATTGTTGTCTCTTGGTTGGTTTTCGTTGTTTTGGTTTTTTTTATTAGAATGAGGTTTGCTCATGAATAATAATATTAATGTATTTTGCAGCCAAAATAAACACCATATGGTCAGGGAGAAAGGGACCAGGAAAAGATGAGGAAGGCACGGCAGCCAAAGCTGATTAGGAGACAAAATGGACCGAATGGAAACAGAGGGGTCAAGTGAGAGTAGACTAAGTCTTACCATCAGGGGTGGGATCACACCATTGTTAAATTCAGTACCCTGGTCTTGGCAGTGTTGATAATTCAGTGAAGGTGAAAAATGTGTATGTAGCTTCTGTGTACAGTGTTGTACACCGAGCATAGCTCATTTCTGTTCCTGCAGATGCTTGTCATATTTTTTAAGGGAAAAGGTGGCAGGGTAATGAGCTGAGATGCTCAGAAAAAGCAGGAGACATAAATTTTGTGATCTCTTACTTAGTCATGTAAAGCTGGGGTGAAGAAGCTTTGTTCTTGCAATTGAAGGTGATGGTAAGAAATTCAGTGTAGGTGTTGAGTGTTAATTGCCATCTTTCCCTTTCTTCTAGCTGATGACTAGGAATCCACTAATGCTAAGCTTTGAGGCATGCGTCAGGATTTGGGGGGTAACCTTGGGGTACTGTACCACAGGCTGTACAAGCCTGAGTTACGCCTTTGTGAGTACTCCCCTCACTGGTGGGACTCGGCTGGCGTTGCAGGGCACAGCGCAGCTAGGGTAAGTGAAGGGTAACAGACCAGCATCTGCGGTTTGTTGGCTTCTGGAGGATGGCTTAACCTTCACTTGAATGGCTCTTCCACATTAATACTTGGAGACTCCAGGCAAATCTCACCAGAGATTTAAAGACACATCTCTCCTTGGATAGATGTTTTTGTTCCTGCTGCAGTTTATCTCATGAATGGATGAGGATGACACCCCACCAGCAAGCCGACTCCAGAACCCCTCTTCCACTGTCCTAAAGCTGTCTTAGAGCTCACTGACCTCTGCGCAGCTTCGGGCACATAATGTGGGGGTCTTGCTGCCTGTGGATTTCTTTTGGCCACAGCTGACCTTTAAAATAGAGCTGGGGCCTTAGAGACTATATAAGGAGCATGCGTGTTTGTTTGACGCACACAGCCCCCCCATACTACCCACAACCCATCTATATGAAGCACATGAGCTGTTTGCCGTGTCTTTAGGGGTTCAGTGCTTGCAGCAGCTCTGATGCAGGCTCAGGTTGCAACCTCGCAGCGCTCAGATGCGACGGCTCAGTAGCTATGGATGTCAAGGGGCTTTTCTGCATATTATCTGAAAAATATTTCCTATCCTATGGATGGATTTATCCCTAATAAAATGCCATGTATGATTAAGGAAAGGGTATGTGGCAGGTCTGGCTGGAGTGTAATCTAAGGCTGTGAGCACATCTCTGCCCAAACTTCATCCCCTTGTGTTTTGGGAGCTACATTGTCTGCTCCGGTAGCGCTAGAGGGGGCCCTAGGACAGAGAAGAACAAGGGAAAAAAGAAGGGGGGGAGACGGGAAAAAACCAACCCCCACCCCAAACCGTAACATGGATGACCAGGATCTATCTTTAAACTTCTGAAAGACTAAATTACATTGCTGGTTTTGACCTTACTTACTTCTAAGGGCCTTCTGCTACTGTACCACATGTCTTTTTCATGATACATAATCTGATTCAAAGCAGAGGGAATGAGAATCCTCATAGTCTGTTTACAGGATTCTGTCCCATGTTCCTGGCCATAGCAAAAAAACAAAAAAACCCCAAAAAACTCACTTCTTTGCTGTTAATATTGCAACTTATTATGAAAACAGATCCGCTATAGACTTGCTTTTCACACGAAATCTGTTTGCCCCATAACTATGGTGGGGTTTGGGGTTTTTTGTTTGTTTGTTTGTTTGTTTTAATTCCCCTATAAAAAGCCTACTGGGTGTTTTCCATTTTCTTAATGTGCAGTGTATTATAATGGGCAAGAGAAGGAGTATCTTTTGACAGTTAATCTTTTGTAAAAGGACTCAATGCTTTCAGCTTCATCAGTGTAAATCTTGATTAATTCAATCCTGGTTCATTGCAGTGGCATGGGGTTTGTACTGGTGTAACTGAGCCCAAGAGTAGGTGATAAACCTGCAACTTGTGGATCTATAAAGTGTTTTTAATATAGTTTCATTAAAATAAAATTCTAATTAGGGATGAAAATGTGTATGCAAACGATGGAAGAAATGCGCAGCTTTCAAGCTTGGAAAAAATCTTGTATAACAGCCTCT